ATATTTAGGAAAAAAAGAACCAGTAGCAAACCAGATTACCAAGGAGTTTATTGTTCAAGTTTCTGGCTGGTAAGGAAAAATGGTTAGAGTGTTAAGCCATCTAGCCAGTAGCTGACTAAATCCTCATGTGAAACAGTATGGTTCTATGTTTTTTTTTAAATCCTCTCTCTCAAATTATTATAGCAATGTCTAAAGGGAGACACGTATAGCCTAGGAAGGCAAAGACTGAAAAATAAAGGCAAACAGAGATACCTGGGAAGACACAGAAAAAGGAAGCAGGGTATAGTAGAAAAGTGTCATTTAATACCAAATATGACTTTGGGCTGATTATTTTTTTCTGTGCCCATCTTTTCTCATCTACAAAGTGAGCATAATACTATAAGTGATATTGTTATACAGATTAGAGATATGTGCATAAAAGCTTCTGACATACAATAACAGCTCAATAAATGGGAGCAGCAACTATGAGTCTAATTTCTGTACTCATCTTGATTCCTCAGTTTCAGCAGAATATCTACTCAGTAAAATGCTTTCATATTAACTTTGGTAAATCACTATACTTTCCAGATCCATTGTCTAGAAATTCTTAAATGAACAGGCACACACACTAGCACAGTGTAGTCAGTTACAGAGAGGTGAATCAAAGATAACTTTAAGTGAAAAGAGTATGTTACAAAATTATGCTCACTGTGATTACAATTATTTTAAGATTATGTATGCATGTAGATGGGCAACACAAGGGAACACAGAAAATAAATTATGTGTTAAGTTAGTAGAGTTACAGGACTTTTACTTCTATTTTTAAAAACTGTTATAATGATGGGATATACAGTAAACATAAAAAGGAATCATGGAACCTTAAAAAAAAAAAAAAGAAACACAAAATTCAGATTCTTTCATCAAATGCTCTCGTTTTACCTTGGTCTCTGACTTTATCCCTTATTACTTTCAACTACTGCCCTCTTAGCGGTAGCTACACGATATAGAGTCCCTACATGTCCCTTCTGTGCCTCTGCTTAGATCAGGCCTCCTAAATGCAGTGTTCTAGTCCCATCCTTTCTGCCAATGTAAATCCTATCTGTGTTTCAAGGCTTAATAATGATTCATTTCCTTTTAGAAATCTTTTCTAGGGGCGCTTGGGTGGCTCAGATGGTTAGGCGTCTGCCTTCAGCTCAGGTCATGATCCCAGGGTCCTGGGATCGAGCCCCACATGGGGCTCCTGGCTCAGCCGGGAGTCTGCTTCTCCCTCTCCCTCTGCCTCTCCCACTGCTCATGCTCTCTCTCTCTCTCTGTATCTCTGTGTCTCAAATGAATAAATAAAATCTTTAAAAAAAAAAAAAAAAGAAATCTTTTCTAATTGACCCCACTCCATAGTTACCTTTCCCTTAATCTTCATACCTTCCCCACAACTAGGATCCAACCTGAAGGATATGTGAATCATAAGTCATTTTAAGTTGTGACTTAAGAAGAGTGATTTAGGGCTTCTGAATTACAAAGTAATATTTGGATGGACTATTCCTTCTTATAGATTTATTTTATCGAACTCAAAAAATCTTATAAAGGCTTTTATAGGCTCAGTCAAAATCTTGGTCCTCCTCATTCTTACCCTGTTCCATAATAACAAAATTCCTTAGTCCCTAAATTAACCTGTTACATAGCCTTTATAAAAGCTGAGAAGGAAATAATATATATGACAAGTACCAAGTCTCTAGCATTTTTCACAAGCTTTAGTGAGAAGTGGGCTATCAGTGATAGATGGCATGACAATCACAGGTTACTGGGAGTCAGAATACAGAGATTCAAACACTGAGTCTGCAACTTATGATGTCACGTTAGACAAATTGTTTAACCTAACACTCAAATCCCTTTTAAACAGTAGAGCTAAATTTAAAATTCCTACTTCGCAGGATAGAAATCCAGATAAATAAATCATATATGACTGAATATGTTTGGTAAACTGTAATTTTCATATGTTACTAGTTATTTTCACAGATGGTTAAAAAATTAAAATTTTAAATTAAAGAACATCGAAAACCATGCAGGCCAAGTACTAATAGAAATAAGGTATCAATGTATTAAACATGCAAAAACTGAAGAATAATTTAAACCTATAGAGTGCTATGGACCTTTTTTGGGAACACATTATTACATCAGCCTATTCCTTTATTTCTATGCTTTTTAGACATTTTTGAAAATGCTTTGGTTCATAAAATGATACCTAAGTTTCCACCATCTTTATATGGACTTTAGATTTAAGCATCTAAAAGCCTTAAGTAAGACTATTGGTAGCTTAATATGAGAGGAAAAGGGAAGCTCAAATAAAAGGAAGTAACTTTTCTAAGATGAATGGGGAATCAGCTAGGAAAAATTTCCATCTTAAGCATAAACTTACATTGACTTTATGTATTATAGAATTTCAAATTTCTTATGCATTTTCACCTTTTAAATGAGTATCTTTTGACTTTCAATAAAATAGAAGTTTTTATTTAAAAGGCAAGTTGAGTGTGTTTCCTGTTGGCATTTTCACCAACATATTATATGACAACTATCCAAAATAATTTATCTACTTTAGCTTCATGTTCCATTCCATATCCTGTTCCTTAATAGCCTTAAATTTAAGTCAACTAATAGCTCCAACAATGTAAGTCAGACAAATTTTATGAATGAACAAGAAAAGTAAACTTGGGTCTAGAGATGATTATTACTGGATCACCAACAAACAGATTTTAAGTTTTATAGTTTTTATATACTGGAAAGCCTCTGATTTTACCTTCCTACAGGTATGTGTCAGCTTTCATTTGGCCCCAAAATGAAAGCAGTTATCCATGTAATTCCCCTAGTGCCTCATCAGGGGTAATGTAATATTATTGTTGCAAATTTGTTAAAACACTTCGCTTTTCTTTTATAACCAATATAAAAAAATGGCTTCCTAAGTGACATTAACTCCAAGCTCTGGTTCGGTGCCAAATGGAGTTAGCTCACCTGCCAATTATGTCTTGATGTAGTAACTACAAGGGGCATTGAAATAAGGTAGTATAAAACCCAATCAGCCAGAGAGAAGGGCACCAGCAGGAAAGGGCAGGTAAATCTCTTTCCTCAAGTTAAATTGACCTGGTTGCCACGTCTGCTCATCAATCCTAAATACACAGTTCCCAGACAGGAAACCATTTCATTTGTCATTTATCGAAGGAGGCTCCCCCTGGCTGGGTTCCAAGTCAACAGGAATTCACAAATCTCTCTCCCGGAACTGTGTTTCCTGGTTCAGGCTGGTTCTGAATAGAATCAGATCCTGTAGCTAAGTAATCAGTAAGCTAAACAATCATGGAGACCAGAGGCTTATCAAAGCAAAGTTGTGATGACCTACTCTTAGCTCTTTATTCTTTTCAAAATGAGTCAATAATATCTGATATGATTAATAATCCAGGTCAAAGGGCATGCCCAGATGGTTCAGAAAGAGTAGAAGCCAATTACCTAGAAATATTTCCAGAAGAATTAGAGCTTAATTTAAGTTTGAGAGAACTGGTTGGATTTAGAGAAGTATAAAGATATAGAAGAACATATTAGGATAGAAAAGGGGCATTAACAATTATATGGAAGAGGAAATGTAAATGTTAAGTCTTCAGACAAGTAATCTGGCTGAAGTAAACATGTATTTAAGAAAAGCAGAAGATATGACATTAAGTTTCTAGCTATAAAACCTGAAAGGGAAAACTCAGGATTCGGGACAAAGCATGGGTAGATAGATTAGCAGATGAATTATCTATCTTAAAAGTACTTTTTGGTTATGATGATTTAGTGGACCATTCTACATTTTGCAAATGATAAAAGTAGGTGTCAGCAACTTTTGCGAGGCTTTATCCTACATCTTCGTTAATTCACCCCATCTTCAATTCCACTGGAGGACTGAGGCTATCTACACTTCCTCTATCTCTTGTTTTCTGTGGCATGAAGTGACCAAACTAAGTTTATGAACAGAGACATGGCTGAATATGAGCACAGACAGGCAAGAAAATAGATGGAGGGCTGGGAGGAAGAGTGGGGTAGGTTCTCTGTATTCATGAACACTTCCTCTCACATTTCAGATCTAGGTATATTTTACAAAGAAGCAGAGTAGACAGTCTTAAATCCCCAAACATCAACCTAGCTGCTTGTCTTTCCACCACTTTACTGAATTTGGTCCTCAGGGCTTTTCTATTTTCAAAAAAGTCCCTTATAAAATACAAATACCTCCCCAGAAAGGAGTTATGGTTTCAGTATTAGTTAACACCTTAATATCTGATAGTTAAAACAGCTGCAGTGTTCAAAAACATTAGAATATACTTCTCCCCCCAAAAGATTCTATAATCAAATACACCTGAGAAACAGCACAGTATAGCTTCCTCTTGTAGCTTTGCGGTGCACATCAGCACTGGAAAAGCACTTAAGAAGTCCAGTAGTAAAAGGTTTTCAAATCTCTTTAATTACCAAACCCTATTTCCCCTACAGAACACATATTAATATATTTTAAGATACGAGTATTTTTTAGAACATAGTTTGAAAAACACAAAATTAAAACAAGTCAATGACTAATAATAAGGCACAGAAGAGACAATTCGGGCAGGTGCCATTAGGAAGGATGACAGGAGGTAGGAAAGCAAAAATAGATCTTTTCTACTTCATAACTTTGTTCAAAAACATCATGTTATTTGTTGCAGGTTCTTGGTTTAAGAGACAGACCCTAAAGTAAGGATGCATGATCTATTCTATAATTATTTATCCCTTTCCGAACACTATCAACCTCAGGCCCATTCCTAGAACATGAGTTCTCTGTACCACCCATTCCCACACTGTGACCAAAAGGACTTGAATGAAGCAGAAAGTTAAATATACCATAGGACTTCTAAGTTTCTCCCTACCATATAGAGCAGTTAAGAGTCAGGAATTAAAGAACCTGGGAGTGGCTGACCATCTTCATAAGTGATCCTTCTTGTGCCATTGTGATCAAAGGCAACTTAACTTACCAGCTCTGCAACTCAGCAAAAGCTTGTTTCATTTTCTTAATGGAAGCATCCATCTCTTCTTTAACTACAACTCGATACCGTGCAAGAGACACTGTGCAGCGCTGGAGGTCTTTCACAGATTTTTCAATATTGGAACCTTGGGGAAAAAAGCCCCAAGAATTAATATAAAAAAGGAGCACAGGTAACTTGAAAGGTGGATATGAACACCCATGCATGTAATGTAACACATGTCACGTGGACCAAGAAAGTTCCCTAAGTGGCCACCCTCCTCGACAAAAAATTGATGTTTTCATAGATTAAAAAAAGAGAGGCGGGGCACCTGGGTGGCTCAGTTGGTTAAGCAACTGCCTTCGGCTCAGGTCATGATCCTGGAGTCCCAGGACTGAGTCCCACATTGGGCTCCCTGCTCAGCAGGGAGTCTCCTTCTCCCTCTGACCCTCCCCCCTCTCATGCTCTTTCTCTCTCAAATAAATAAAATCTTAAAAAAAAAAAAAGGTATCCTGGCCAAGATGGAGTAATAGGAATTGGATTTATCCTCCTGTCTTAAACAACTAAACACATACACACAGACAAAACATATGAAACTGGATTTTCATAAAACAGACATTAGGCAGTACTTTTTCCCTGAGAAAACAGAAACAAAGTGAGGCCTATAATTGCCCCAACTTACTGCCACAAGAGTTTCCAGGCTGCAGTGCAAGGAGGAGAAATCCTAATCCTGAATTGAGGGGACAGAGTTGAGAAGTGGGAAGGCCAAGGTGGCGAGAATTCTAAGGGCAGAATACTGGAGAGGAGAGAGCTATACAAAGATGAGAAAATTGTACAGGGATCTACAGAGAATTCTGAATGCATCGGCGTGAGGAAACTACTGAGACAGGAAAAAGAACCAGTGGAAAGGAACAGGTAGAACAATCGCCAGACCTCACCCAGACCACAAATAGTTCATGTTCACACCAGCCAGAATGGGGCACCAGTAGGGCACTTGGAAGGGTACAGCCTCAGTAATGAGGCAAAATTATCTCTAAAGGCTGCTCTAGTTCTACCTAACAGCGCTTAAAAGCAAGCCTCAAAGTGTTACCAAATAACAGTCCAGAACAAATCATAAGAATACTTAAAATAGGGTGCCTAGGTGGCTCAATGGGTTAAGCATCTGGCTTTGGTTCAGGTCATGATCTCAGGGTCCTGGGATGGAGCCCTGAGTTGGGCTTCCTAATCAGCGGGGAGTCTGCTTCTCCCTCTCCCTCTGCTGCTCCCACTGCTTGTGCGCTCTCTCTCTCAAATAAATAAATAAAATCTTAAAAAAAAAAAAAGAATACCTGAATAAAACACAAAAATATCTAGGAATCATGGGGTGCCTGGGTGGCTCAATCATTAAGCATCTGCCTTCAGCTCAGGTCATGATCCCAGGGTCCTGGGATTGAGCCCTGCATCAGGCTCCCTGCTCTGCAGGGAGTTTGCTTCTCCCCCTCCAACTCCCCCTGCTTGTGTTCCTTCCCTCTCTCGCTGTGTCTCTGTCAAATAAATAAATAAAATCTTAAAAAATATATATCTAGCAATCAACAAAGAAAAATTCACATGTCTGGTATTCAAGAAAAAATTACCAGGCATACAAAGAGGCAGACAAATATGACCCATAGTGAAGAGAAAAATCAACTAACAGAAGCAGATGCAGAAATGTCACAGATGTAGTAGAATCAAGTAAATAAGGACATCAAAACAGCTAATATAATCAGATATCATATGTTCAAGAAGGTAGAGGAAAGCATAAACATGTTAAGGACAGACATGGATGATACTTTAAAAAACCCCTACTGAACCTCTAGAGATGAAAAAAAGACAATGTCTCAGATGAAAAATACACTGGATGGGACTGACAGCAGATTAGAAACTGTTGGAAAAAAAAAAAGATTAATGAATTTGAAGATAGCAACTTCAAAAACTTTTCAAAATGAAACAAAACATAGAAAAAAGGCTAAAAAATAAGTATTTGAATAGGTACCAAAGTTTCAAAACTCTCTAAGTGACAGGATTCAGTAGAATATAATTCACCATATAGACACTACAAAATTAGTAAAATTCTCTCTCTGTAGTACAGTTTGAAGAATTATATGTGGATAAGCCAACTCTGTAGATAAAGATGAAATATATTTACCTACCCATCACATTCTAACCAGTTTCTAAGAGTTCTACTGACCTCTCTATATTCACCAATGTCAAAGTTATATATACAGTTGATAGGTGGAATCATGGATCTAAGAAGTTTATAATGTGCCAAGATACAGATTTTCAACCTTTTATTTAAATTCCTCTTGATTTATTTCCAAATCTACTTAAAAGCTTTCAAGCAGCATCCTTTTCTTTTTGTATGACTGAATATTTTTGATGTGCTTTTCTGCACCAAGCTGAGGGTTATGTTAGATTTAAAAGGAAAGCTTCACTAAATTTAGCTCATGTGGAATAAATAATTCAATAAAGCGCTACAGGTTACAAGTGTCTTACATTTCTATGTTTCATTTGTTTAGTGGAGTGGACCACCTTGCTTAGATGTATGACACTCTATCATCTCTACCTGTTTAATTATTGGCTGATTATTTAAATGATTATTACAGTTTAAAGAAAAAAGGCAAAGAGCTACCACCAGTCAATGCTGAGTACTTACTTAAGAGGAAACGATCTTGTTTAAAGCTAAAGTCTGACAGAGATTACTAAGAGCACGAAGTTGTGAAGAGAAATGCAAATATTTTTTTTAAAATGTCATGTCAGAGATGGCAGATCTTTTTACTGTTAAGTCAACTAGGAGATAAAAATGAAGGAAACGGTACAAAAATGTTGTAGTAAAGCAAATAAAAGAAATAAGTTAATGTTAGCAGAAAAGTCATCCTGACCAGTAGTTTGACTTTCATTCACTAAAAGGATCCCTGTCATTGTAACAAGACTGTACAACATCTAAAATAGTATCAAACTCCAACTGTGCCCATGGAGTTACAGAGGGGTAGTTACTGCCTTAAAAACAGAAAATGTATTACCTGCTACCATTTTGAGACCTTATCTATGGGAACAAGGAGATAATCTGCCCTCGCTAGCCAAAACCAGATTTTTTTTGTTTTCTCTCAAAGGTAGTCTTCTGATTTACCTAGCTTTTTGTTGGTGGAGGAGAGTGGAACATCTTCCATCCCCAGATTTGAAAACTGAGGTGCTGTGGTAGGTCTTGAAAGAGTTTTGGCAGCATTCCTATTTTGTTGAGAATTCTGAGTAGACTGCATAGTCAAAGACTTGGGCTCAAAATCAGAGATGCCATTCTCCAGCATGGACCCTGTCAAAGAAAGAGGCCAGTATTTTTAGAGTAAAATTTAGGGTATATCAATCAAGCAGTCTTAAGTATAAACAAATAAGGAAGGTAAAAATGTTTTAGGCAAAACTATGCCTCTTAAAGGCTATGAACAAAAACAACTGACAAAACAGAACAAAGAACAGAAGCAGTTGGACGAGGCTACAAGTAGCATCTGGCTCAGCCCTAAGCTGCATCCTGAATGAAGATGACACATCGCTAGATAAGCTAGCTTGTTCCCTGTATCTTGGTAGCTCTGGGCACAAGGAAGCGAAGAGAGTCAATAGCACTAATTTCTGATAGCTTCTGTAAGTTATGTTGAGGAAAAAAGAGTTTTACACTGTTCCAGGGAACGAAGAATTTAGAAAGTTTTAGGAAAAGGGCAAAGAGGAAATAAGAAGAGAGCCAGCTCAGAAAAAAAAGGAAGCCACTATCTTTGGTTTGGTTGAGGTCAGCACAGGTGCTGTATCTTTCTCTAAGTCTTTTCGTATGAGCAAACTAATCAGTAAAAGAACATCTAAGAAGTACGGAATAATTCTTAAATTGTCATTACATTAATAAGGCTAGCAGCAACAGAGCAAGGAGCAATGGATTAACAAATAAGTAATTAAAAAACCAATTTAAAAAGAGATATTCCTGGGGTGCCTGGGTGGCATAATTGGTTAAGGATCTGATCCTTGGTTCCAGCTCAGGGCCTGATCTCAGGGCTGTGAGATCGAGCCCCATGTTGGGCTCCACACACAGCACGAAGTCTGCTTAGGTTTCTCTTTCTCTCTCCCTCTGCCCGTCTTCTATGTGTGTACTCCCTCTCTCTCAAATAAATAAATCTTTAAAAAAAAGAGAGAGATATTCCCAATATCTTCCCAACATTCATCAAAATAGTTAATAAAAAATGTGCAACATATGTGAATTTACAACACTAATCTTAAATCTTTACTAGAAAACAAATGTAGGACTATAAAAACCAACAATCTACTTCTCATGAAAGCCATGGGATTGCAGTTATTATATATTCCTCACTGTACTGAGTCTTAGAATAACGCCATCGACGTCATCTCATCATCATCATTTTCTTAGTAAGTACACAATTTATTTTTTTTTTTTTTTTTTTTTTTTTTTTTTTTAAAGATTTTATTTATTTGAGACAGAGAGAATGAGAGAGAGAGAGCACATGAGAGGGGGGAGGGTCAGAGGGAGAAGCAGACTCCCTGCCGAGCAGGGAGCCCGATGCGGGACTCGATCCAGGGACTCCAGGATCATGACCTGAGCCGAAGGCAGTCGCTTAACCAACTGAGCCACCCAGGCGCCCAGTAAGTACACAATTTAAAAAATCTTAAGGTCACCTTCTGTAATCTCTAACTACTAAGGGATTATTAAGTTAGAAGATTTCCACAAGACTGACTTAAATTAAAATTAAAATATGAGACAATGTAATAAAAACTATATTTTTCTTGGCCTTTGATAATTACAGTTGACCCTGAAACAACATGGGCGTTGGGGCACTGACCCTCCCTGCCCCCCACAGTTGAAAATCTGTATATAACTTTGACTCTCCCAAAACTTAATAGTCTACTGTTGACCAGAAGCCTTACCAGTAACATAAACAGTTGATAAACACATATTTTATACTTTATATGTATTATATCCTATAGTCTTACAATAAAGTAAGCTACAAAAAAGATGTTATTTAGAAAATCATCAGGAAGAGAAAATATATTTACAGTACTGTATTTTTTGAAAAAAAAAAAAAAAAAATCCACATATAGGTGAACCCACACAGTCCAAACCATGTTGTTCAAGAATCAACTGTACAAAATGAGACTCTTTCACATAAAAGGCAACAAAAACTAAAAAGTAAAAGACTAAAACTAAATGTAATTTACTGATTGCTTTCTCAACCAGGAAGCCCTTGTATTTTTCAACAGAAGGCAACTTTTCAAAGACCTGTTAATAAACTCACCTGTTCTATCCAGCATATGTGGTGTGGCAGACTCAGGCTCTTCCAATTCTCTGGCATCTATTGAAAGTATCTCCATACCCTCACTGAGAGAGTCCACAGACTCGGTATCATTGATGGCACCGTTGACATGGTAACCATTAATACCACCTTTCTCTGAAGAAGGTACAGACTGTTCCTCTTGAATGGATACTAATTTACTGGAATCTGGAATACTGTTACTTGGTTCTGCTGCAGGCTTGGGTTTGCTTTTCTTCTTTTTGTTCTAATGATTATTAAAGATTTGAAAAAAAGAAAAGAAAATGAAGACCCCCACAATCCAGAGAGATAACTCTAGTTACCAAAGATAATCAATGTTACCAATTTCTCATATGCTCTTCCAGAAATTGAACACATTTTTGTATATGTTGAGCTACTGACTAAAATAACTATGTTAAATGCTTTGGATGAACTCAAACACATAAATACAAAAATTTTAGCATGGTAAAACTTACCATAAGCAAAATCAAAACATAAATTTTAAAATGTGAAAAAATATGTCCAACCTATATACAAAAAACTAAATTTATACAGAGTTCTAACAAAAAAACAAAGAAAACAATAACCCAACAGAAAAAAATGGTCTAGGATAGAAACATACGGAATGAAGTGCAACCTCAGTCTAATAAGAGACATAAATTAAAACTGCACTACAGAGGATTCTGGGAAGATGACAGAGGAGGAAGCACCAGTAATCTGTCTCCCTAGACAACAATCACACTGGCAGAATCTGTCTGATATAACTATTTTGGAATTCTGGAGTCTACTGAAGGCTTGCAATTTGCAGGTGAAGACCTGGATAGTAAATTGCGGTTAATTTCAGTTAGTATCAGTTCCTAGTATAGAAACAGTTACCCTAGGGGACAAGCAGCTGAGCACCTGTTCTTGCAGCAGCTTGCAGAAATTATGGGAGCCAGGGTAGAGAAAAAGAACCCCGTCCTCCAAATACTGGGGATCTAGGCTCTGATCACTGACTACCGCTTTTGATCACAGAGGTGCAGACAAAGAGGCAGGCAGCTACTGCTGGACCTCCTCCCATTGTTGCAAGCCCCACCCTCTTGGGCTGAGTGACCGCCTGGGGAATACAAAGAGCAGTGCCCCAGAAAATTAACAATAACAAAAAATAAGCAAACCCCGAGGAAGGGGGAGAATCTGATTTCCAAAGTTACCACATTGTCAGATTCAAATGTCCAGTTTTCCTTCTTTTTTTTTTTTTAAAGATTTTATTTATTTATTAGAGAGAGAGAGAGATAGCTAGAGCAGGAACACAAGCAGGGGGAGTGGGAGAGGGAGAAGCAGGCCTCCCGCGGAGCAGGGAGCCCAACGCGGGGCTCGATCCCAGAACCCCGGGACCACGACCCGAGCCGAAGGCAGACGCCTAACGACTGAGCCACCCAGGCGCCCCTCAAATGTCCAGTTTTCAACAAAAAAATCCCAAGGCACAAAAACCACACAAAAAACAAGTATGGCCTATTTAAAGGAAAAAAAAAAATCAACAGAAACTGCCACTGAAAAAGATCTCCTGGCAGATACATTAAGGACTAAAATAACTGTCTTACTCTTAACTACAGAGAACAAACTGCTGGTCACCAGAGGGAAGGTGGGTGAGATAGGGGATTGGGATGAAGGAGAGCACTTGTGATGAGAGCACTGAGAGTTGTAGGGAAGTGTCGAATCACTATATGGTAACTAACTGGAATTTAATTGAAAACTTAAAAGAAAATAACTCTTAAAGTTGCTCAAAAAACTACAAGAAGATGGTGGAGAAAATCAAGAAAACAAAGTATGAACAAAATGGAAATATCAATAAAGAGATAGATAACCCAAAAGAAATTAATAAAGAAATACTGGAGCTGAAAAGTAGTATAACTGAAATTTTAAAATTCACTAAAGGGATTCAAAGGCAGATTTCAGCAGACAAAAGACAAAAATCAGTGAACTTGAAGATTGGAGAATGGAAATTGTCAAGTCTGAGGAACAGAAATAAAAAATATGGAAGGAAAGTGAACAGAGGGGGGCCTGGCTGGCTCAATCTTTAGAGCATGTGACGCTCAACCTCAGGGTTGTGAGTTCAAGCCTGAATCACATGGAAGAGACTGTATGGTACTCTACGTACACAGCTGTGTTTCGGTGTCACTGAAGACTTTTTTAAACCAGGTGAAGTGAAGTGGCATAGGTAAATCTTTTCTTTCAAATATTTTTGCAGGGCCTAAATTTTTTTAATAATACAAATGCCAATATCATGGTTTTAAATTTAATTCATTTTTACCTTTTTCTTGCCTGTTACTGTCCATTCTTTGAGTACTTCACTGGCACTACCTGTAAAAGAAACCAATTACAGATTTTCTCTCCTACCACATGCATGGTCAACCAGGAATTAGTGTCCCTGTATTTTGTAATTGCTGGACAATTTCCAAAGTTCCTAATAGGGAAAGGTTAAGGTTCAAGGCTCAGCTAATGTAGTAAGACAATCACACTATACTTATGGAATACCTGTCCATTTAGATCCCCGTTCTCCATGTAATTTCCTTAGTAAGTTCTCCTAAGAAGAGAGTAATGTAGCCTGAACACTTTGAAGATTATTTTATTTATATAGTTTAGACCAAATACAAAGATAACTGGTTTCACCCCAAATATGCCATCCCCTCCCCTCTAGAAGATCACATACCACCTTGGCTATGTTGTTTTAGAGAGAGCTATACACTACCCTAGACCCAAATACTAACATTATAAAGAAAACATGATGATAAAGAAAAACCTTACAGTATTTGGGTCTGTTTCTTATACACGGACAAATTCAGAAGAACAGAAACAGGAAGACCCAATCTGGTGCTGCTGTTCAATGAAGCAATAGCTTCAGGCAAAGTTTTTCCCAAACAAGTTATGTAGAAAGAAGTTTATAAAACATTCCTCAACTCTATAAACTGAAAGCTTGGCTAAACACACCATTCTTCTATATGTTAGATAAGGAAACTGAAACCCTAAACATTTGAGTCACTTGCAGGAACCAAACTAAATGGTATAGGAGCCTGGAAGAGAATGCTGAATCCCTGAATTTGTCATTTGTTGCTGGGCCGCTGGATCACCGGTTTGTCACTAGGAGTTTCTTAAATTCTTATTCAACCCAATTCCAATCAAGTCCCTTATACCACTAGCGACACAATTTGTTCTTAAAACCAATAGAGAACATTTTGAATAAAATGGTGGAGTTTTCTCAGCTTGTGTCTTATTCTAAGATATCATACAGCTTATGAATGAATTACTTCTAGGGCTGAAAGAGATATCTTTAAGAGGTATCTTTAAAAAAAAAAGAAATGCCACGTCATCATGGGGTCTGCTATATCATCTATGAAACACCAGATTGCTGAATGAATGTTATAAAAGTCTGAAGCAACTTCTATTTGAACAAACACATATTTAAAAACCGAACAAGGATTACCTTCCATGAAAGCTTGTACTGTTTTGTCCACACAATTATCAAAGTGCTGTAAAACCAGGATGATTTCATTATTGCTCTTATTGGGAACTATTGCACGCACCGCATTTATCTGGAAAAGACGACAGGATCATTTAATTCTAGCATCAGTTCGTCAGTTGGCAACTGACATCTATGATAGAGAGTAATGGAAAAAATGGTATGTATCACTCTTTAATGTCAGTGAGAGTCCATACAACCATCTCACTGGGAATGATTAATACACGAGTGATAACAGCACATAAAAAATTAATTTCAAAACTTAGAAAAGCAGAACATTTCTAGAAATAGAAGGTATGTGCTAGATTTTATTTCAAGAAAGGGTGGTTTAATTAAGTATCAGGTAGTAATTTAGCATCAATATTTCCTCATCTTAGCCTACTGAGAAAGGTAGAAAGTTTAATGAAGCACCAACATTAACAACTTACACTTTTCAGTAGTATTTTTCAAATCATTTTTACGTCAAAAAAACCATTTTTACTTCATAACATTTAATTGTAATATAACACTATAAGTTATTATAAACTGTTTCAGGCATACAAAACATAATGAACACTCACTACATGATAGTTGGTTTAATACAATAAAATAGATGGCAGCTGAAGCCCCCATAAAGTCCCTCATAAATCCCATCCCCCTTCTCTTCACAGAGATTTCTGCCTTGAATTTGGTATTATCTTGATACATGTTTTTGCACTATTATGATGTATATATCCATAGGTAATATATACTATTGTTTTGCCTTACATAAATATCATTATCATACTTACCTGTATTCAATTTGCTTTTTTCACATAACATCGTTTTTTTAGATTTTTTTGTGCGTTGATAAATGCATCTCTTATTTATTTTAACTGCTACATAACATTTCCATGGTATGAAAATAGCCAATTTATTCATTCTCCTGTTGATGGCCACTTACATTGTTTCCAATGTTTGGCTACTATGAAAAATGCTGGAATGAATACTCCTATGCTTACTTGCTGCTGAATCTTCAGTGCTTAAAACAACTTTATCACATTGTAAGCAATTAAAAAAGAAAAAAAATCACATCTTCTGTGAAGAGTGAGAGAATGTCTCCCTTGTGTATAAGCCCTAGAATTCTTGAATATTAGGGCATCTACAAATTCATTACATAACACCAAGTTGTTCTTTAAAATAGATATGCCAAGGAGCGCCTGGTGGCTCAGTTGGTTGAGTTGGAGGACCCTTGATTTCAGATGGGGATATGGTCTCAGGTCGTGGGATCTAGCCTCCCCCAGTAGGCTTCGCACTCAGTGGGGAGTCTGCTGGAGGTTCTCTCTCTCCCTCTCTCTATGCCTCTCCCCCTGTTTGTGCATGCTCTAAAATAAAATAAATCTTTAAAAAACATTTTTTAGGGGCGCCTGGGTGGCTCAGTCGTTAAGCGTCTGCCTTCGGCTCAGGTCATGATCCCAGGGTCCTGAGATCGAGCCCCACATCGGGCTCCCCGCTCTGCGGGAAGCCTGCTTCTCCCTCTCCCGCTCCCCCTGCTTGTGTTCCCTCTCTCGCTGTGTCTCTCTCTGTCAAATAAATAAAATCTTTAAAAAAAAAAATTTTTTTTTAGATAAAATAAAATAGATATGCCAATTTTGCTGGATTTATTCCTAAGGTTTTTTTTTTTTAATTCAAGTATAATTAACATACAGCATTATATTAATTACAGTATAATGATTCAACAATTCTATACATTTCTTAGTGCTCATGAAGATAAGTGTACTCTTAATACTTTTTATTTATTTCACCCATTCTCCCCCCACCCACCTCTGCTCTGGGTGATTTGAGAATAACTACATGTTCTGTTTTCATTTTTGTATATCAATTTAATATCCAGCAATCTTGATGAATTCTTGTAATTTCTTGCTTTCTTCGTTTTTCTATGTAGATAGAAAATAACTGTATTGTCTATAAATAACAACAGTTTTTTTCTTCCTTTCCAGTCCTTAAAAATTTCATTTCTTGTCTCACTGCATAATGTGAAATTAACTATTTCTCCTGGCTCTTTTTGGTAGGGAGTAGTACTTAGAAACCAAGATCTAGGAGCTGGGTGTGTTTATTGTTATTGGGGAGTCATTATTTCTAGGTTTCTTCAGTGGATAGAGCTAGGAGATTTTGTTTTTTACAACATGAGTTCATAATAACATCTTCAATTCAAATATAACATTAAAAGGTTTTGAACATGTATTTCTTTTCTGTACACTACAAGTTTTTATTAATTTGCTTTATTCTATAATATTCAAAAAGTATTACTAATATACTACAACATAATATTACTAATGATAAAACACTGAATACAACTAAAGATTTGCAATTCTTTTTGTCTTTTAAAATATCCCTCTAAACACATACAGAAGAATATTGTGTTCAAAAGTCAGTGGGAAGATTTGTTCTACTTCACGCTTTCCCTGAAGGTGAAATATTTTTAGGATCTCAACTTTATATAAGACCTTAGCCCCAGGGGCGCCTGGGTGGCTCAGTTGGTTAAGCGTCTGCCTTCAGCTCAGGTCATGATCCCATCGTCCTGGGATCAAGCCCCGCATCAGGGAGCCCGCTTCTCCCTCTCCCTCTGCCTGCCTGCCTACTTGTGATCTCTCTCTCTCTGTCAAATAAATAAAAAAAACTTTTATTTTTTTATTTTATTTTTTTATTTATTTGACAGAGAGACAGATAGCAAGCGCAGGAACACAAGCAGAGGGAGTGAGAGAGGGAGAAGCAGGCCTCCTGCCCAGCAGGGAGCCCGATTGGGACTCGATCCCAGGACCCTGGGATCATGACCTGAGCCAAAGGCAGGCGCTTAACGACTGAGCCACCCAGGCGCCCCTAAATAAAAAAAATCTTAAAAAAAAAAAAAAAAGACCTTAGTCCCAAATCCTAACCCAGGACAAGCCTTGGGCTTAGAGCCCTGTGTGGTAAAAGCCAATTTTTATTGAGACTGGCAAAACACATCAGAGTTACCTAGCTCAGGCTTACCATTCTGGTTTTTAGTGCCCTCTATATTTTTAGTTCCTATGGATATCCTTTACTTTTTGTGTCACAGTATGCATTTTAAATGATATATGTTATTTTTCATTCTGTATTTCTAGGTATTTTATAACAGGAATGTTTCCAGGTTCTTTAATTAGCCATACTGCTTAAAAAGGAAGTTCTTCTATATATGAAGAGAAATAAAGTATGTTGTCTAAGTAATAAGCAGAGTCTGTATTAGAACCTAAGTCTTTTTTTTTTTTTTTTAAGATTTTATTTATTTTTTTGACAGAGAGAGACACAGCGAGAGAGGGAACACAAGCAGGGGGAGTGGGAGAGGGAGAAGCAGGCTTCCCACTGAGCAAGGAGCCCAATGTGGGGCTCGATCCCAGGACCCTGGGATCATGACCTGAGCCGAAGGCAGATACTTAACAACTGAACCACCCAGGCACCCAGAATCTAAGTCTTCTTTAGTACACTTACTTTTATATCATTCTACCCTTTTTTTGTTTCAGGCTTACCGAACAATGATAAGGTTTAAAACCATACAAAGTGGGAAGGTATATAATGTATAATCCAAAGAGGGCTAATTTGTAATATGCATTTTTGAGATGAGCAAAAAACTTAGTACTGATCACTACAAAGTAGACTTTAGGCAAAACTTACAAACTCAATGATAAAAGTAAGATTCTGATAACTTAAAATGTGAAAGTGTTTATATTATTCAACCAATATATCTGTGACTCCATAATCAATAATATACTTTTCTTAATAAAACAGAGAAAGCACATAAAGCTTTTACGTTTTTCTCAATAAAACTCATTAAGGGTTACATTACTAAAAACACCTGGTTTTCTTTCAGAGGAATATTACTTGGAAGATCTATTTCTCTTCTTGCTCTGAACTCTCCAAACGAATGGAAAGATCCTACTCAGTTTATTCCTTAAAGAACGTTGCCAAATGAGATACACACTTAGCCACATATATATTATGTTATAATATTAACTAATATTTATGATATTAGTTATGCAAACAAAATGATATTTCACTTTCTTAATGAGTTTGTGTAGCCACTGATTGTATCAGCATCTAAATTTTACTGACATTCAAGCTTACTATCCATAGTAACTAGTCATACCTTCTCTTTCATGTTCTCAAAAGCTCCTCCCTGGGCCAATACAGTATTGGACTGCAAATCAAAAATGAATCCTGATGTATCTGCAAGAATAAGAATGAAAAAATATATTCAACACGATCTAAAACTAACATGTGATCCATTCCCCAAATGGAAGGGCCATACCAGCTGCTTTCCTCTCATAAACAGTGAACAACTTAGTTGCTATTTTGTAAATTCTATCCTATATATAACTGATAACTACACTTGTGTTAAAATTATAAAATTTGATTTTAATAGAAACTGTCACAAGCTACAGAAAGACACTAAATACATCAACGATATTAGACTGTCCAGTAATCCTTGACATCTTTGTTAACTATCCTAATTTAAAAGGCCCTTTAGAAATGTTGCAAGTAAATAGTTCCCCAAGGTAAAATTTAACACTAATGAATCTGAAAATGTGAATATGAGCTTCTGTACCATAATAATAACACATGAAACTAATTTCCATCTTCTAGACTGCACCACACACGTTCTTAGACTATCAAAATACCTGAATACATTCATGTTTGTATCCCCAACATAATGCTCGACAAAGCAATGTACCTGAGCTTACACTACAAGCATAGCACGGGAAAACTGCAATGCGATTGATTACAAAAAGGAGTTTGGCTTTCTTATGCTTATAAAGAAAAGGCTATCTGTAAATTTAATCAATTTCTTTAACTGTGACTACGTAATCCATAAATTACCTCAGCTTTAACAGTTGACAACTTTGTTTTAATCTAATGAGATGCAATGGCAGGAAATGGTTAGAGTACTTCTCAAATTCTGATGTGGATACTTGTCATCTGGGCAATCTCAGGTTAAAATGCAGGTTCTGATTCAGTAGTTTGGCTTGTGGCCGGAGATTTGTACTCTCCAGTGGTATTGACATTGCTGATCCATGCACCATACTTGGGAATAGCTTGGGGGTTAGAATTTCAGCAAAGCAAGCAAAAGGAGAAATTTTAAGAAAAGAGGTTGCTATGGTTTAAATGTCTGTTTGCCCACCCCCTACTCCCGCCTGCCATCACCCAGCACTAAATTCGTATGTTGAAATCCTTAAGTTTTAGTGTTACATAATGGTATTAGGAGCGGGACCTTTGAGAGGTGAATAGGTCATGAGACTGGAGTCTTCATGATGAGATTAGTGCTCTTATAAAAGAGACCTCATAGAGTTCTCCAGCCCCTGCCACTGGGGGAGGATGCAATGAGAAGTACTCTGCAACCCAGAAGAGGGCCCTCACCTGACTATGCTAGCACTCTGATCTCAGACTTCCAGCCTCGCAAACTGTGAGAAATAAATTTCTGTTGTTTATAAGCTACCCAGTCTGTTATGGCGCTAGAACAGAATAAAACAGGGGTATAAAAAAATGCAGTATTATTCTAGTACACTTTCCAAATTCTTTTGCTACTATTATAGATGTGTTTTAATTAAAGCCTCTTTTCAGGGATAAAAGGTACAGCATAGGGAATATAGTCAATGGTATTGTAATAATGTTGCATGGTGACTGATGGTGGCTACACTTGTGATGAGAACAGCATAATGTATAGAGTTGTCAAATCACTATGTTGTACACCTGAAACTAATGTAACATGTGTGTCAGCTATACTTCAATCAAAAAATAATAAATAAAGACTCTTTTACAGCTTAATCCTGGGTTTTCAAATACTTCCTAGTTCCTATGGAAGACTGGTAGTTCATAAGTTAGAATGGTAACAGCATTTTGGTACTAAAAGTGCTAAAGAGGATATGAATAGAGTCAATGTCATTCCAAGAAAAACTGTGATTGCCAATTGCCAATATAACCATGAATTAATTTTTTTTTAAAGATTTTATTTATTTGAGAGAGAGCAGAGAGAGAGCACGAGCAGGGGGAGGGACAGAGGGAGAAGCAGACTCCCCATTGGGCGGAGAGCTGCGATCACAGGATGCTGGGGATCATGACCTGAGCCAAAGGTAGATGCTTAACTGACTGAGCCACCCAGGCACCCCAAAACTGTGAATTTAGATTTAACCTCTGTAATACTGGCAATTTTCAGACTGTTACCTAAATTAAAAATTGGCTGCACTTAAGACAAACTCAGTATTTAAGTCTGAGTTTTCCAGATGACTACATAAAATGGTTAACTCTCAATTAACCTTTATTAACTGAAAAAAGACACAGTTTTGAAAATCCTATATAGTCAAAATATTATCCAGCAACCTACTCAGTTGCTATAGGTTAGCCAAATGATTTAACTTGGATGTTATAAGTACTCTCCCCTAAAGACAAATTAATGAGCAATGAGATGATACAAAAGGATGTCAATAATCTTATTAAAGAATCTAGCTTCTAAAATAATTTGTTACCTACATTGTTTTAAAAGTTGCTAATGCAACGGAAAAGCTATTTCATAATACCTAAGACAAATTTTGTCATTAAAAAAGTGTATCCTTAAAAAAAAAAAAGGAGGAATCAAACCATCAACCTCTTTTAAGGTGGAAGCAAAACAGCATTTTGGAGTCTGTATTTATTTGTTTTGGGGTCTGTATTTAAATGAACTATTAGTATTCTTACACATCATCTAACACTTTATTTTTTTTCCTTTAACAACACATTAGATTAGACAAAGTACCAGGAAAACAAAGGTTAGTTCTATAAACACCTTTGCTGTTGCCCGCCCCCCCAAATTAGTATAAGTATTACTAGGGTTTATCTGGCATACATACCGGTTAGGATAATGATTAAAAATATATAAAGCAGTCAGGATCATAGAAGGAAACAAATGGCTCACTCAAATCGGGAAATCTGAGGAGAGTTTAATAAAGGGACTATTTTCAAAGGTGCTAGTAAGGAATAGGGAAACCAAAAGATATAGTGCAATACCCTCGGCTAATAATAGCAATGTACCCTGCTACTCTGAGGTTTTAAAGAAGTGTTAAGGAGAAAGCCATTCCTGGAATATACAAGGCTCTTTCATCTTTGTTTCATCTGGTATGGAAAGGGCCACAGGACCATAGCTATGACCTTTGGTCAAAGGACAAGGTAAGCCCACAGTGACCTCCCTCAGGGAAAGATTGGGAAATAAAACCACTACCTCACTCTCCTCCCTGCCTCTGCTCTCCTGCCTATGCTGCCTGCCTAATGGCCAAACCCAACTAGAAGCCCGAAAGCAAGAGAGCCATTGAGGTAGTGCATACAGGTCAGCCTCTCACAGCACAAATGCCAATTTCATATTTATAATCTAAATCACAAGTTCTCCAAAAAGGTAAAGCAGTAATTCAACATCTTAACTTGCCTACTCACCAGCTAATATTGCCTCTTTCAACTTAAAACCAACAACTCAAGCACATTCAAAACCTTGCTTCAATGAACTGGTGCTTAAGTGCCTCTCAGCATTATAGATAAAGTCATTTTTTGTTCCCATCAGTAATATTTAGTAATTTAACAATTTTCTTATCTTTTCATGCAAAGAAAGCCTAAGATTTACTTAATTCCACTGGTAGGAAATGAGACAGGGTCTCAACCTTTGATATCTATCCTATGATAGAGAGCATGTATACTCTGCAGGAAATAAATCTTTTTTATTTCTTTTAAAAGACTTTGTCAGAGAGAGAGAGAGCGCACAAGGCAGGGAGCGTGGCAGGCAGAGGGAGAAGCAGGCTCCCCGCTGAGCAAGGAGCCTATATGGGGCTCAATCCCAGGACCCTGGGATCATGACCTAAGCTGAAGGCAGACACTTAACCGACTGAGCCACGCAGGTGTCCCAAGAAATAAATCTTTTTTTTTTTTTTTAAAGATTTTATTTATTTGAGAGAGAGAAAGAGAGAGAGAGAGAGCACATGAGACGGGGGAGGGTCAGAGGGAGAAGCAGACTCCCCGCCGAGCAGGGAGCCCGATGCGGGACTCGATCCCGGGACTCCAGGATCATGACCTGAGCTGAAGGCAGTCGCTCAACCAGCTGAGCCACCCAGGCGCCCCCAAGAAATAAATCTTTAAAGAACAGTTCAGTTAAATACTACTCTCACACAAGGCTCATAAAGGATACAAGGAAATCTGAACTTTCTTAGCATTTATTTCACTGTATTAGGAACCACCTCAGAAGTTTCTTGGAATTATTTCAAATAGCACACATTTAAGAACATTTTGGAAAAAGTATGTTATTTACAGTATTACTGACATATTTGCAAATACTGCAGGCTTTGTTATTGTTGTTTTTGCTGGCTTAAAAAATCAGACAAAAGTTGTTTTAGGCACTGAGGATGACACAGAAATATCTGAGTCTGATAATACCATGTGTCAAACCAAACTTGAACAAGGTTTTTTTTTTTTTTTTAATGTTTTATTTATTTATTCATGAGAGTCAGAGAGAGAGACAGAGGCAGAGGCAGAGGGAGAAGCAGGCTCCCCGCCTAGCAGGGAGCCCGATGCGGGACTCGATCCCAGGACCCTGGGATCATGACCTGAGCCGAAGGCAGACGCTTAACCATCTGAGCCACCCAGGCGCCCCGAACAAGTTTTTTTTAACTGAGGTATAAATGACATATATATAAAACACTACATTAGTTTCAGGTGTACAACATAATGGTTTACTATTTTTTTTTAAAGGTTTTATTTATTTATTTGACAGAGAGACAGCGAGAGGGAACACAAGCAGGGGGAGTGGGAGAAGCAGGCCTCCCACTGAGCAGGGAGCTGGGACTCAATCCCATGACCCAGGGATCATGACCTGAGCCAAAGGCAGAAGCTTAACTGACTGAGCCACCCAGGCAACCCAAAAAACTGAACTATTTTAAAACAGGTAAATGACATGGTTTATAAAGGCCAGTCTTGACCCAAGATGGAAGTTTATTAAATAACTTAAAGAAATAAATATAAAAAAGTGTTAGCATTCCAGAAGGCTATACCCGTACTGGACATCTTACAAAACGGCATTTTGACATAGTTGTTTTTCTAAATTTCCCATCTAGGATTTGCTCTTCTTCCAAGCCTGATTCTTCATTATCTACACATTTTCTTTATCATATATATATATATGATATATATCTATATCTTTTTTCTTACAAAAACAGTCACAATTCTTCCAAACTTAGGTGGTAAATTGGCAGAAGAGAAAATTGTGACCTAGGAAACTGAAGTTGGTGACCTCTTCAATTTCAAAATTGTGAATACACTCTAAACTTTAGCTAGTCATGTCTGTGACGGTAACTTTCTTCTCCTTGCACTCACATTTATATAATATAACCCCTGTCCCATATTTGTCACTAGTGCACATGAAGAAACAGAACTCCACTTGTCATTTTATTCGTGATTTATGTGTGGATTATTCTCAAAACTGTCATGAGAAAAAACAATTTCAACAGACTGGTTATTTTCGGGGCACCTGGGTGGCTCAGTCGTTGGGCGTCTGCCTTCGGCTCAGGTCATGATCCCACGGTCCTGGGATCAAGCCCCACATTGGGCTCTCTGCTCAGCGGGAGGCCTGCTTCTCCCTCTCCCACTCCCCCTGCTTGTGTTCCCTCTCTTGCTGTCTCTCTCGCTGTCAAATAAATAAATAAAACCTTTAAAACAAAAAAGACTTTATTTTCTTTTAGGTGGTTGAGTATTGATTGGCTGTGTTCAGGCTAAAGGAGAATTTTAGGTTATTTAATTGTTCGTGAGATACATTTCTGTAAGAATTGGCACTTAACCTCTTCTCTTCAGTCTACCTTTTAATTTTTAAGAGGAAGTTGATACAATTTGAGAAAATATGACAAGTGATCGTCACCCTTGTTAGGTTATCTGTACATCTAGGCTTTCTTACCTGTGAGGTTACTTGCATTTAATTGGAGGATCTTACCTCTATGGCCTCTCTTTGACCATGGTGAAATATGAATAATTTTGTTATCCAGCTTGTTTTCTGCATGTGTAAGGAATATCCATGAGTAATAACAAGAATCTG